CTTTCAGTATCTGTCTATATTTCTGAGATGAGGTATTATGTACATTATTTACATTATTCAGACTATTGTCATCTTTGTCGCCATATTTATTACAACGTTTCGGCCGTTATACGCTCCGGCCTTCGTCAGATGGTTGGAGTGTCGAACCGAACCCTTTATTTCGCTCACTGGGATAGACTCTTCTAGTTCCACGTGCCATGTTTAATGAATGTCAGTTATCAGTTATCTCCTGTTAATTTTTTTCTGAAAGTTCTCCACTGCCTTAACCAGGTATTGAACTTATACTCTTTGGGTCCTGTCACTGGATCTAACCAACGCCTTTCTCAGTAGGCAGTGAAATAAAGGGTTCAGTTCGACATTCCAACCACATGAAGAAGGCCGGAGCATACAACGGCCGAAACGTTGTAATAAATATGGCGACAAAGGTGAGGGCAATATTCCGAAAAATAAATATATTTTATTTCTGTAATAAAATAAAAGATTGTTTGATGGTCACAAAACCCGCAAGAATGAAAAAAAAAAGAAGCAATATGGCGGGTATTAATGCCTTTTTAACAACCAGTGAATTAACGATTTTTTTTAAGCATTTCACCCCAAGCAAGGCGGGAAGCCAATAGCACAAAAGGGGTTACAGAGGATTTGGCGCGAGAGCAAATAGGAGTGATAGAGGAAATGTTGAAGAGAAGGATAGGGGATAGATCAAGGCATCTGGAGATGTCGATTGACATTACATTTGAATAGTTGGAGATTATAGCTATCAGGAATAGGGAAGGGAGTTCCACAGGCGAGAGGTGCGAGACATGAAGCTATTGGAGTAGAAGAGACGGCTACATTTAATAGTTTCAACAGTGAAAGGGTGAGAGCGGGATGCCAGCCTCGTAGGGCGCTTGAATTCATGAAGTCTGGGAACCAGCGAATGCAGCTGCTCGGAGCAATTACGATGAAATTAAAAAGACAGAGAGAGGCGACGGCACGTCTGTGAGAGAGCGACTGCAGACGAAATGCCAGATCAGGGCCAATTACATTGCTTATTCGTCTCTGGATCTTATCAAGAACCCCGAGGCAAACAGAAGGGGCTCCAGACCATATATGGCAGCAATACACCATGCGAATGGTTGATTTGTAGATTTGAAGGATCGATTCCGGGGAGAAAAGAACAAGAAGTTGCAATTTCCTGATAAAAAATAGTTTCTATCTAAAAAAATTCTTCAGAAGTTTCGCTTCGCAGCGAACCCGTGGGTCTGAAATTGATTGTATTGGAAAAATCTCTCAGTCGCATATACCTCTCCATCACGGAAAATTAGTCGGCAAAATTTCCCTACTGGCAACAAACAATCGGGCACGTCTCAGGGGGTTAACTCCCTTTGCATCTTTCTTCATGAACCGAGGTAATAGAGGTACATTATTAGCGGGAATATTTTTGGAAATTTTGAAGAAGGATTTAGCAAAGACTCAATCAGATTCATATCTAAATATTTCGAAACACACCCAGCCGAAAGCTCAATAAGTGGGCTGGATTCCAAAAACCCTGACCCATATCTCGTACTTTTGGTTCTGATGCAGGCGTCTGCTATATCCTTATTAGATTGAGGTCCATAATTGGCACAAATAATGGATCGGTGATTAAAAAATAGCTGTTAAATGTGATGGGCTTTGTGGTCAAATTTGTCCTAACATAAATATTCAAAGACAGAGGATTGACTGGGACAAAATTCCACAACCGATCCCCAAAAATGAGCTCTAGAGAGTAAGCTAATTTTGTGCGTGTGTTTTGATCGTTGGGGTATATTGTTCAGTTAAAATTCTTAAAACACATATGCGTTTTTATATGTCCGGCATCTGCAACGTGTCAATAAAAGTTCTGCAAAAAGTACTCTAGGCTCGGCAATATTAAAAATGTCCTTTTCATAAAAATGTAAGATTTGGGCATTTCGATGTGATGTCATGGTTAACAAACTTGTCGCGCTAAATCAGTTACGACTGACTGGTGAGTTCGAACCTCATAGAGTTCCCCAATCTGTTGGCCTTGTGCCACATGTAAGCTATACATAAAAAATCATTTAGGTGCAACTTGACGTGGGGTAATGGTTAACAAGCTTGTCTTGCTAAAACAGTTATGACTGAACAGTGAGTTAGTTCCTCACTGAGTGTATATCTTGTACTACAGGATTATAGTTTTTTTTGTTTTTTGTTTTTCGAAATCTGCAAAACTCTTTGACGGAGAATGTTTGTTTCTAGTGAAAACACGATTTAAGAGCTTGTCGAAAACTTGTGGACTCTTAGGCCAAATGTATGAAAGAGCCGCTTGATAAAGTGGCAAAAGGTCATTGCCAATAATGGTGAATATATAACTGAATAAAATTTAATTGTACTTCAATTTTGAAAGAATAAATTTGAGAAAAACGGAAATTACTCATGACAATAATAATAATAATAATAATAATAATAATAATAATAATAATGGGAACATCAACAAACCCTGTTCTAGTTGTTGCCCTAGGACTGGTTGGAAAAGATTGCAGTAGACTAATTGAAGGGATTCCTGGAAGTCCATGCCTCAAGGAGATACAAAAAATTGTTCTGGCAAGTACAGCCAACACTTTACGAAGGGCTTTATCTATGTAATATTTTTTTTTTTTTTTTTTTTTTTTGTCAGTGGAAAGTGTCATGACGCCATTTCTAACCTTAGGTCCCTGGGCGGGACCCGGAAAGAAATGTGTAAACGCCAGAAATCAAAGAAAATAAAAATAGTAATAGTAAATCATAAAAACTAAAAAAAATAGTGAAAATTTATTTAAATGATATTTTGTAATATATCTAGATATTTAAACAATGATGTTCACCCTGTACAAGCCTCGAGATTAACTCGACGAAGAGGGCTAAAATGATAAGATCCAAAGAAGAATCTGCAATGTTACTGTTCCTCCCCTGGCACCTCGGCTTTAGTCACTTTCCCACCGCCGTAACGTAAATACATAACATAACTATGAACACTAATGGCTATGGCTATGGCCCAATCTTCATAAATACGTTCGACACTTTTGTAAGTGGGAGTAATATACTGTCTAAGGGATTTCTGCCACATTTATATATTGTGGGGTGTTTTATTACTAATAATGATTTTGTTTAGTTTTGTTGTAAATAGATTCATTCATATTGTATATACTCATTTCTGATCTTTTTAATTAGTTGTTTTACCCCCCCCCCTACACACACACCCAAACGACTATTTGTACATATGAGGATTATTTAGGATTTTCATAGAGACAATGAGGTATTAGGGTGGATGTAGTAAGGAAGGCTAGTGAGAATGTAGTGTTTTGGTGTTAGGAATATTGTTTGTATGTTTGGGTCAGTGCTTGTGGCTCGCTGAGTTTAAAATCAAAACGGATGAAACCGTCCTTTTCCCATCCCCTTTTTAAGGCCTTGTGCCACATTTTCTGTAATTTTACAGAAATAAATATTCTAATGTTAAGCAAGCTTGTCTCGCTAGAACAATTACAACTGAGTAGTGAGTTCGATCCTCACTGGTTGCCACATAAAAAAAACAAAAAAAAACATTATACATACTCATTGGGGATTTTTTTTAACTTGATGTTATATTCCCCTCCCCCTACAGACGACGATTTGTACATATGGGGACTATTTAGTATTTTCAATGAGACATGAGGTATTATGGCGAATGTAATAAGAAAGGAATGTACGAATGTGTTGTTTTGGTGTTAAGAATATTGTTTGTATGCTTGGGTCAGTGTTTGTGGCTAGCTAAGTTTAAAATTAAGACAGATGAAGACCGTCCTTTTCCCCCTGCCCCTTTTTAGGCCTGGTGCCACATTTTCTGTAGATTTCACAGAAATAAATATTGTAATATGCTGTATAAGTAGTCCACCACCTCCAGTGGGTTACCTACTTTACGCCGCTGGCGAGTATTGTATTTTGTTGATGTTATAAAAATGACCATTTCATTTTCAACCACCGTTTTGGTTATTCCTCATTCGGTAACCCTTTCTAGTTTACGACACGTTCACGGTAATTGTTTTGATGAACTTTCCTCTGTTGTTCTTAGAGTTTATGAATTTAAGCGCAGTACTAGATTGGCGGTAAGGTCCCATTTTATAGCTGACATGAGTAGATGTATCCGTAAGTTCTATGCTAACAGTTTCTTCTCTCGCAATTCTCGTTCGTGGAACTCTTTTCCGGCCTTTTTTTCTTTACAGTGAACTTAGTATATTTTTGATTATATTGAACCAAAAGTAAACGGAAATCTCTGATTGGGGCGAAACGAGCGCAAACTACTTTAATCAGAAGTTAAGCTCGAATCGACAACCCCTTTCCCATAGAGAATACGTTGCAAGCATCTTGCTAGTCGATAGCTATTTACATGGCAAATGTTCGGATTAGCCACATTTTTTAGTCTCACAGGTTCAGATCTTTACAGCCAAGACCCATGATGCCACAAACAACGACGAACTATCGCTATAGTCATTGGCATCTTATTAGTATTTCCACTCGAACGTCTTCTTCCTTAAAGGTGCTGCATTGTAATACAAAACAACCAGAGGGTGTTTTCTTGGCCACTACATACTTAATCTCTTCAAATCTAGGATTAAACGTTAGCTTTCTTATATATCCCCATAAACTGCACTTCTTACCTTGTTCTTGAACTGCTAACACAGCAAACTGTAAACTGGGCCTTATATTACGTGAAAATTAGTTAAAATTACTCTGCACTTATATATCAATATAATTTTTGCTACTTTGAAAATTTATTGCAGATTCGGCAAAATATTACATTTATTTGAGACTGCATTCCATAAGTTTTAAAAAAAATCGTTTTTATTTTATTTTTTTCACATAGTTTTCAAAATAAATCGTATTTTCTTGTGTCAAAAAGCGTTCCGAATTTGACTTGCAATTTTCTTTTAATCTAAAAGTTCGTAAACTTTAAAAAAAAAAATAAATAAATACGGTTTGTAGAACATCATTTTTTTGTGGCTTACCTTAGTGAAAAAAAAAGAATAACGCCTTCGATGCCAAGAAAGAAATGAAACGATGTGAGAAAAAATACTGGCTTTCCTCCATTTTCGGAACATGTCACACATTCGGATTTTTTTTTACGCGCTTACGAACAGGGCCTGTGAATATTACTTACTGAACCCCACGACGAGGAAGGGCAAACCTGATTGGGGGCCCTAAACATTGCTTTGTGATACTCAGTATCTTAATAAAAATTTGCTTTTTTCTATCTATATTTATATACGTTACATTTTAAATTCAGCACAACTGACAATTAAAAGATAAAAAATTTTTACGGATTTTGACGTCATTCTGGATTTTTTTGTTTTGTCCAAATCAATGAATTTGTTTTGCTCATGCTAAGCCTCGAAAAAAAAACACAATATAAACTATTCACTATTTTTCTTTCCATAATACTGAATGTGTTAAAATTATTCAACATTTGAACAAGAAAAATCTCAAGTTGATGTAAAAAAAAAATTGCCCGCAAACATTTTTGATTTATTTAAGATGAAATGATCTATTATGACATGTCTCTAATTTTATTTAAATACATTTGATTTATTTTCACTTCTTCTAGTTGAATTGTTCACCTATATTACATATGATCGATTATTGTATATAATTTGGTTAAAATAAAATTTTATATGAATGCTACCTTTTGAAAATTGAGTAGTAGAATTGGGGGCGGGGTAATTAAAGGGGACGAGACTCTTGTACGGTCGTTGGCGCTACACAATCAATAGAGAGTACTATGACAACTTGCTGAGGCAATAAGGAAAGGCTATCAAGACCAAATGCACAGAAAAAAGGGGTTTTGTTTCAACAGGACAATACTCCAGTACACAAGAGTTTCGTTTCAATAGCCACTCTGCTTGACTTTGGTATTGGACTTGTTGATCACATTCCCTAGTCTCAGATCTTGCTGAAAATCCTCATTGCATAATGGTTTCTGTTTTGGTACAGTTTTTTGTGTAATTGTGTAGCGCCAATCTACAAGGTTCGAAGAGATATGATTTTGGCCGAGATCCACAGGCTCAACCCGCTTGTAGCCATTTTTAACCATTGATCTTAGAAAAGCGATTGTATAGAACTGACAGTTTAGATATTTCTGAACGGATTTGGCTATCAAGACCAAATGCCCAAAAAAACAGAAAAAAAGAGGTGTTGTTTCACCAGGACAATACTCCAGTACACAAGAGCTTTATATACGTTACAAATTAAATTAAGCATGACTGACTCAATTAAAGGATGACAAATTTTTGCAGATTTTGACGTTCTTTGGGGTCATTTTTTTTGTCCAAATCCGTGAATTTGTTTTTGCTCATGCTAAGTCACGAGAAAAAAAAAAACACAATATAAAATTCACTATTTTTTATCCATAATGTTGAATGAGTTAAAATTGTTCAACATTTTAACAAGAAAAATCTCAAGTTGATGTATAAAAAATTGCTGTAAAAGATTGTTGATTTATTTAAGATCGAATGATAACAAGTCTCTAATTTGTATTTAGATACATTGTATTTATAATAATGATTTTAAATTTTTATACTTGATTTGTTCACCTACACCAAGACCTATATTACATATGATCCATTATTTTACGTAATTAGGTTACAATAAAATTAGTAATTCATATGAATACTAGCTTATTAAAATTGAGATGTAGTAGAGAGTTGGGGAGCCTTATCAGATATTCAGGGTGGGGGCGAGACCCAGGCACTGGCCATTTATCAGAACAATTTGAATAAAAAAAAAAAGAAAACGTCGATTGGTGAAGAAAAAGAGGCAATGACTTTGAGAAATCAAATATAATTTAGTAGATATTTCATTTATATTGATGTTCTTTAGGGTCTAAGTTTCGAAAAAAAACTCAATATAAAATTCACTATTTTTCTTATCACTAATGTTGAATTTGGTATAATTATTCAACTTCTTAACGCAAAAAAAAAATGTGAAGTTGATGTTGAAAATGACTCCAAAACATTTTTGATTTATTTAAGATGAAATGATCTATTATGAGATGTCTCTAATTTGTATTTAGATACAACAGATTTATTTGAACTGTTCACCTATATTGCATATGATCCATTATTGTACATAATTAGTTTTTTTGTATTTTATATGAATACTACAATATGAAAATTGAGATGCAGTACAATGTGGGTCTCGTATCAAAGATTTGGTAGGTAGGTGTCATAGATTCGGGCGGGGCAATCGGCCCTTGCATTACACTGGCAATACTTACTAGAACTAAAAAAAAATACTGTAATTAATAGGTGAATATAAAAATATCTATTTAATATAGGGTTTACTCCAGACCTCCTTATATCACAAGAGTGCGCGGCAAATAAACAAGTGGGGGGGGGTCATTTTAATCGTGCAACCACTGATGCGTTTGCAGAGTCTATAAGAATCAGCTGAGTCAACAATGTGCACACAAATGTATGTTAGTAGCTGATAACAATCAATATTGCTTCCGAACGGAATTTGTCTCAGAATACAGACACACTGCGCAGAGATCGAAGAATAGCCAGGCGAAGAGATCGAACGGTAGAAGAGGAATAGATGTCCAAGGAGAATGGTATGAATTTAATTCCGATCATAACTTGATTTTCATTGATAAGTGTATGTATTGATTGATCTATCGATTAGTGTGTGTGTGTGTGTGTGTGTCTCTGTCTATGTTTCTCGCTCTGAGTCCCTGGGTGTGTGTGTGCGCCCGTACGTGTGTTTGTGTGTGTTTTGTTTCTTTTTGATTAAGTATGATTGACAGAAAAAGGGGGGGAAAATGTCGCACATAATTGGCAAGGTAGAGAGAGACGCTACTCAAGAAGATCTGATGCAACACAGTGTTCCTTAGCTTTATTGAAAATAAGCGGGATTTGGTAGCTATCAACCTATGTCTAGGAGATAGATAGATAGATAGATAGATAGATAGATAGATAGATAGATAGATAGATAGATGCGCACAAACTGAGATAGATAAATAGATAGATAAAAATTAAAATACATATAAGATCAGCTAACGATAAGTCTATATAAACACATCGACTATATATATATATATATATATATATATATATATATATATATATATATATATATATATATATATATCTTGTTCAATATATATATATATATATATATATATATATGAATATAAAAAAGATATATATATATATATATATATATATATATATATATATATATATATATGAATATAAAAAGATAGATGAACAAACTGAGATAGATAGATAGATAGATAGATAGATAGATAGATAGATAGATAGATAGATAGATATGAACAAAACTGAGTTAGATAGATAGATAGATATATAGATAGATAGATAGATAGATAGATAGATAGATAGATAGATAGATAGATTCTGATTATAATGTATACATTCTACAATACTATGAACGCACACACACACACACCTCTACACAGGCATATATAAGTAGACTGACAGATATGAACAGCCTCAGATGCATAGATAGATAGACAGGTAGAGAGACACACAAACATTTTTGTCACAATATCAAGTGTAAATTAAAATGCATGCCTTGCACCATTTTCTTTATGGGGAGATCTTGAAAATCAGCATTCAAATTACTTCATTTTACCTGGGTTCTTTTACGAAATACGCATTTTCTAACGGAAATATGTAACTGCATTAGAAATTAATGAAAACACACACACACACATATATATATATATATATGTGAAAAGTGTGTGTATATATATATATATATATATATATATATATATATATATATATATATATATATGTGTGAAAAGTGTGTGTGTGTGTGTGTATATATATATATATATGTGAAAAGTCTGTGTGTGTGTATATATATATATATATATATATATATATATATATATATATATATATATATATATTATTTTAGGATATTAAAGAAAAGGATGTTAAAAGTCGCATTATTATTATTATTATTTATATATTATATGCGCGGTACTTATTAGAAAGCGCTCAATATCAGAGATAGAGCTAAAATATTTCCAACTATATATATATATATATATATATATATATATATATATATATATATATATATATATATATATAATACATAAAGGTTTATTGGTCAAGGTTGAATAAGACCAGAAAAAAAGCCATATTAAAAAGTGCTCAATACACTTGTGAAAAAATAAAATAAAAGTAAAAATAACATGTAGAACATTTAACTTGAAAATATAGATTCAACTAACTACCTGATTTTTAAATTATATATATATATATATATATTTTGTTTGAATAAAAACAGACCACTTTAAGGTTCCATGTAATAAGTTATTTCACCACAACCCCTTTAAAAGGGCTCTGGATCATCAGACTTTACTTCCAAATGTTGAATGAAAATATATATATATATATATATATATATATATATATATATATATATATATCCTTGCGCGTGTGTGTCTGTGTATATCTTTGTTTATGTGTGTCCGAGCGTTTGTGTGTGACTCTGTGTGTGTGCCTCTGTGTATGAGTGTGTATGTGTATGTGTGTGTGCGTGCCAGTGTGTGTGGGGGTGTGTGTGCTAGAAGACTGAATATCATATTTGGTCATTCGGTTTGGAAAAGTGGATTGGGCCGACAACTTTTCAGCAACCTCTCCCCCAATCTGTTTTGCCTGATTTGGTTTCGGCGTCAGCCAACTTGTTAAGTGTCACTTACTTAAGTCTCCGTAGATATCCGCTAAGTTTTTCTCAGAAAGCCCAAATTCATTGGGCCCCCGGTGTGGATCGAATTCAGTATCCGAGTTAAAGCTTTGGGTGAATATTTCCTATAGAGTAGATAGCTTTAGTAATTCCTTTTATATATTAGGATACCGTTATAAATTCTCTCTCTTGCACTCTCACCCTCCCTCTCTATCACTCTCTGTCAATTCTCTCTCTTATCAATCTTTCTCACCCTCTAGCCCTCTCACCTCCTCTCTCTCTCCTCTCTCTCTCTCTCTCTCTCTCTCTCTCTGGCCCTCTAACTAACCCCCTTTGTGTCTTTTTGTCTTAGTATTTTCTCTCTTTTTTTTTCTTTTTCTCTCTCTCTTATTTTCATATTCCCCCTCTCTCTACTCATCTTCGGATATTTTCCGTATCTTTCTATTACTTTCTTTTTCTCTTTTCCTCACTTAATGTTCGGAAACTCCTTGTCTAAAGATACTTTCCTTTATTTCTCTCTCAGTTTATTTTTTTTACTCGTTATTTGCCTCTCTCTCCTCTCTCTCTCTCCCCCTCCCTTTCTTTCCCCTTTCTCTCTCCCCTCTCTTCCGCTCTCTCCCTCTCTTCTCCCCTCTCCCATCTCTCTCCCCTCTCTCTCTCCCCATCTCTCCCTCTCTTCTCCCCTCTCTCTCCCCCCCCTCTCTCTCTCTTTCACCTTCTCATCATTATTCGGATTTTTCTGCCGCTCCTTTTCATAATCGACGGATTCTCACATTCTCCCCCTCTCACTTTCTCTTTCTCTCTTATTCTCTCCTTTTCTTTCCTTTTCTCTCTCTCTCTCTCTCACTCACTCACTTCTCTTTACCGTATTTTTCTGATATTTTATCTTTTTATATATATATATATATATATATATATATATATATATATATATATATATATATATCTTTATATATATATATAGAGAGAGAGAAAAAGAAAAGAGAAATGAGTTGATGAGTGATATATATATATATATATATATATATATATATATATATATATATATATAACACTCACTCATATACATATATATATATATATATATATATATATATTTTTCCTTCTCCTCAACACTCATTTTTCCGATGTTTTATCTTTCCTCTCTTACTTCATCTCTCTCTCTTTTTCTCTCTCTATCTCTCTCCTTTTCGAAATAGACGGAATATCCCTCTCATTTTACCTCTCTCTCTCTCTCTCTCTCTCTCTTTCTGTCTCTCTATCACTCACCCATTCACTTATCTTCTCTTTCCTTCTCCGTATTTTCTGATGTTTTATCTTTTCCGCTCTTCTCTCTCTCTCTCTCTCTCTATCTATCTATCTATCTATCTATCTATCTATCTATCTTTATTTGTCTCTCCTTTTCGAAATTGACGGAATCTCCCTCTCACTTTATCTCTCTCTTTCTCTCTCTCTCTCCCACTCACTCACTCACTTACTCTCTCACTCACTCACTTCACTTCTCTTTCCTTCTCCGTATTTTTCTGCTATTTTATCTTTTCCTCTCTTCATCTCTCTCCTTTTCGTAATCGACGGATTCTCTCTCCCTCTCTCATTTTCTTTCTCCCTCTCCCTCTCTCCCTCTCACTCATCCGTGTTGTCTCCCCCACCTTCCACACACCGTGTTTCCCTTCACTGCAAACGTAGCTACACTACATGCAAGGAAATACTGCTCGACAGACTTAGCAATAATCTAGTCATTTTTACACACTCTCCCTTCATACATACGCGTCTATATCCGATTGCCTTTCATATTATATTCTTTTTCTATCTCTGCCGACTTTAATCAAACACACAAACAAAACACACACACGCATACGCACGCACATGCACACGCACACCCATCCATCAATTTCTTTCCATTCTTCTTCCACTAACTATCGTTACGACACATTCGTATAAAAGATCTTTGTTGTTAGTTTAGTCATAATGTGTGTCCGTGCACTATGATACACTGGAGTCATTTTTTTTTCTTAATATTATTTTCTTTGTTTAGTAGATAATGAGAGATTTTAACAAAACAAGATTCTTTCCTTCTTATCAGTCTTGATTCATAGCATTTATATGATACTAATGAACTTATGTTTTCATTAGAAAATTAAAAAAAGAAAGATATTATTTAATTTCTCAGCTCCGGAAAAAAAGAAAAAAAAAACTCTAAAATACGCACAGACTTTTCGTAAACTCGTCCGTTTTATTCGTAACATATCTATTTTTTTAAATTTTTTTTTTATGCATCTAGCGTCTAACGATTTCCATGTTTAATATTACGTAACTATTTCCACCAGAAAACAGGAAAAACTTCCAAGAGTATATTTGCAGGGAGAGATTTTGGGACTTTTGCTGTTTTACGTGTGGACCCATATTTCGAAGGAGTCATGTTAAATTGACTAAATTCATTCGAATGTAAAATAATAAAATAGATGATTAGTTTGAAAGAATTTTTTAAGGCTCGAAGGTTTGTTCATGCAAAGCACCGTGTATCTTAAAATTATTCATCGCAATTTAAAGAAAAAATAATTACAAAGTTTATTAGTTAAATATCTCAGAGAGCCTTCTGGATTTATATACTGAATAAAAACATATAAATTTGAACACTGTCAGCTGAAAACAAATGATTTACGAGAGTAAAAATTAGTTACTTTTAATTGATCTTACATGTGACTATATAACTTGCATATAAGTGTTTTCCACAGCGGTTACCCATTTACATATTGAGCTGGTTTGCTTAACCCTGAATATCAGAATTTGGTTTGACTAAAAGCTGTCGAGAGAATTCCAAGTGCAAATCCTTTGGTGTTGTCAGAGTTGGGATGCAATTACCATTAATTATATAAATGCTTTTATTTTTAGCGGAGTTTAATTTTCTATAAAAAGCAAAAATTGCCCCAAAAAATAAAAAATAAAAATAAATAATTAAAAAAAAAATTAAACAAAAAAAGACAAACGGATTTTAAGAATTTAAATTGCTTCTTTAAGTATAAAAATTTACTCAGCTTTTTTATTCTGAAAAGAAGACAAATCTGGGTTTCACTAAAGCGACATTGGCTTTTTTTTTTTATATATATATATATATATATATATATATATATATATATATATATATATATATATATATATATATATATATATATATATTCTTACTAAAACATGCTTCTACATGGCCAGCTTCCTTTCACGAACAAGTCTCTGGTCTTTCTCTCTTTGTCAAGCTATCCTCTCTCGCACTCTCCCCCCCTCTCTCTCTCACTCATTCTTTGTTTCTCTCTCCATCTGATTCTTGAGTGTTCGGAGTCTGTGTTCGTGTGAGCGAACAAGCCTTGGAGTGTTTATATTCGATGCAGTCGGAGCAGCCGGCTCGATTTAACAGGCAAACCCTTCTCGCCTCTGAAAGAATATCTACATTTTAGTGACATGCCAACACACAACAAACTACCAAAATATACTTCAAATAATTGATCTACTTTTAACTAACGTCATAAAAAATGTCAATCTAGAAAGCAAAAACCAAACAACAATATATTTTGTGCATATATATATATATATATATATATATATATATATATATATATATATATATATATATATATATATATATGTATGTATGTATATTGGTATATATATTGGTATATAAATGTAATTCTCCAATTTAAAAAAAAAAAACATATAAAAAAACAGGATTTTCTACCATTTGGACCATTCCTGAAAATTGGCTGACCAAAGAATTTGTTAATACTATTGATTATATCTTTGGCTACCACAAAAAGGTAAGTAAAACTTTTTTTTCTTGGATAC